AAAACATCTGCTGCTGCTGTGAAAACAACACCAGTCGTTTTAGAGGTTTTAATGCAGACACAGACTGTTTGATGTGTTTGCAAAAAAAACAGTCCAATTTTTTCCAATCTGTCTGCAGAATTTAAAAGCCTCCTAACTGTTACCTGCAAAGCAATAAAATATTGAATTCATTTAACATCCATTTCTTCCACTAATTAATTGATTATAAAGAAAAAAAAGAAAATGTCTGAAATCTCTTCTTGCAGCTTTTCAAATAGGATTTCTTGCCTTTTCTGCACATCAACGAAACGTTGTCTTCCGTTGTCGAAAGGTCAGAGTGACATTTGAAAAGATTATGAGGCGTTCTTTGAGAAATCTATTTCTACTCAGTTTCTAACCAAAAGAACAAACACGCTAAAAGATGAGAAAACACTAACAAGCTAATTTTCTTTAAGTTAGCAGCATTGTTTCAGCGGGGCATACTTTCAGATCGAACGTTTAAGGTGTTGTAAACAGGCGTACATAAAACAGGCGCTCTGTAGACGTCGTTTTGAGCTATTGGAAATGAAAGCACTTTTTTCTGTAACAGTAATCTTAAAAAATGATCAGCAGAGCCTCAGGTAACGGACGTTGAAGCCCCCAAGACAGGAAATATATTAATGATCTACATTTGGTTATTCTGTGTATTTAGGCAATATCAGATAAATAACAACAGCACCTATAAGGACGTCTTCAACATTTTGAGGGGTTTAGGTCACAGAAGGTTTGACAGTTTGGGGATGAGAGGGCTCAGAGGTTAAAGGTCAGCTACAGAACTGTCAGGAGACTCATTAATGTGTTGTGCTGTGTAATTATCATGCATACAAAATAACATGTTTACTTTTTCTCTTGTTAGGCAAAGTTATAAAGCCAGTGCAGGAAGAAGTGTGTGTTTGCAACAATCCACCAAATGATCTGAGTTACAGTGTCTCTTATCCAGGATTTGGTGATATTACCTAATATTCAGATAAAGGCTGTGTGATGGGCTCCTTCACCATCCTTTTCTGCCTGTCTGTGTGTCTCGCCACAGGTATTGCAGAGAAGTTGTTATTTGTTCTCAATCAAGACGCCAGCACACCTGGGCGCAGTGCACCTGTGCCTCACAGCAGCCCTCAGACTTCAGTTCCTGTGGTGCTCTCTTCCCTGAAACACTGCTTCAGCGTTTGCTTGCTCCTGACTGCACTAACTACACATGCACACTGGTTGATTTAACTTCCTATATTTCTTTAATTTAGCATAAACTGTTTCTTAATTGGTGCCCTTTGCCATGCCCATGCAGCCTGGTTTGTGGTTTTACCGGTTAAAGAACAAACTGGAGTTTTGATGTGCCTGAGTCAACTTCTTAAGAGCTTTAAAATAACACTAAGTTTCAGTCACAGCTAAAGCTGTGGTTTTGTATCTCAGCACTTCACTGGTTTTCCTGCTAATGCTGCCGTTCCCACTTCCTTCATTGCCACCTATGGAACAACCAAGGACATAACATGCAAAACTCCATTCGGCCTCGGCTGACCGCCCACACATGCCTGCACTAAATTTAACATAAGAGAAGAAGAAACGACCTCGTGTTATAAAAAAACTAAAAACTCTGTCTTATATCTGCTTCTACCCTAACTCTAGAGTTTTAAGAGGTAAAGGTTTAATAGATATCTGGCTTCATATTTTGTGTGCATGATATGAAACCAAAACCTTTGAGCCTCACCTTTTAGTACTGGGTTAAACATAATCTGACAGATTTAAAGTGCATAATGAAAAACAAGCAATCCAAACATTCACTGATTCCTCTGCTGAAAGGATGTGGCGTTTTTTT